GATACAACTTTTGTACTTGTCTGATGTCACGACTCCGAATAAAGATCTCCAGTTCACACCACCACCGTTTACAGTCGAAATCCTTCCCTGACAATATCTTTATTCTACAATCTTTGGTACAAAAATACATCACACATATAAGAGGGGAATTCTATTGTGTTTTTGTAGATTTTTCCCCAAGGTCTTTGACATGGTAGAGAGACTGGCTATATTCTTTTACACCGCAAAACGATGCAAAAATACTGGGCTAAAATCATCAATATGCCAAGTAATCGGGAGTGAGGGTGAAACCTACCTGAGTGGCAGACATTGTTTTTGTGTAAATTAATCTTTCAATCAAACTTTAATTGAAATGTGCATTGCTAACAGCAGGCTATCTTAGCTGAGAGGCCAATTGGTTAGCCAGAATTTTATCCTTGCTGATAAAATGAAGAACAAGCCATGCATTGCACAGTCCCAGTTAGTTATCAAATTTTGTTTATAGTAATATAGTTGGAATATAAACATGTCAGAGTATGATTATGATTTTTTTAACATTAAAATGATTGACATCTTGCATCTGATTGTCTTGTCCATATTAAGAAATATTGCTCTTGAACAGCATTAATTAAAACAAAATCGGCTATTTTGAATACATGTATAATTAGAACATAATCAGTCAAGCATGGAGGAGATATGGCTCTTGAAGCACATTCATTAAAACAAAATCGGCTATTTTGAATACATGTATAACATAATGTATAATGAATATATAACATTTGAACATAATCAGTCAAGCATGGAGGAGATGTGGCTCTTGAAGCACATTCATTAAAACAAAATCGGCTATTTTGAATACATCTATAACATAATGTATAATGAATATATAACATTTGAACATAATCAGTCAAGCATGGAGGAGATATGGCTCTTGAAGCACATTCATTAAAACAAAATCGGCTATTTTGAATACATCTATAACATAATGTATAATGAATATATAACATTTGAACATAATCACTCAAGCATGGAGGAGATATGGCTCTTGAAGCACATTCATTAAAACAAAATGTCCACCAGTCAGCCATTTTGAATCTGATCTGAAAAATAAAATGAGGCGAATAAGGAACCAATAAAGTCTAATAAATGTAAAAGTTTGAACAAAATCAATCCATAAATGCTTGATTTTTTATCATAAAAATGGTCGCCATTTGAATCAGATAGTCAAACCAATACCTGTCATGCATCACTATCATCTTTAAGTATTTCATTAGGACTTTTCATATGTGACAATGCCCTCACAGTTTAGAATCAGTTTACCAACAGCCAATCATATTACTTTTTTCATCAACGCACTTTGCTAAGCTGTCAAAATCCTTGGAGCGGAACTATGTCAAGAGACGTTCCACATTGTCATTAAAGACAACACCACTCTACCATGTATTTCTATGGGCTCTGTGAAAGCTGCTGTGAAACGCGGGTCGAAGAGCCGGTGAAAACAACTGAATTCAAGAATTCTAAACAACCAAATTTAAATATGTTGCATATGTAGGGGTAATCTTGTTACACTGTTCAAGGGATTGTCAACA